TGCCATATCACTACAGGCTATTTGATCTCCTTAAGTCAACAATTCGGAGCTTGGATTTATTAGTTAATATGTGGAAGAGTTTTTCCTACTGCTCAATGTTACTTGGGGGTGATAAAACTGCACTTATAAATGGTTTTCCCACCAATCCAAAAACAATAGTAATTAAATACAATCTAGCTTAATTAAATGCCAACCCAAGAGAAAACAACCGTTTTAAAAGATCTTTTTCCTAAAATAACCTTTTGCACATATTTTTAGAAAAAATTCAAAGTTGTATCAACCTTCATTTCAGAGACAAATATTTTCTGCTAATTGAAGTGAGAAGCTGAGTTTTCAACAAAAGCAACTACGCACTTTTTTTTGCTTTGTAGACTAAAATAATTCTAAGACAGTTTGAGCTCAGCCCCCATGACTTAAAATCAAGGGACATGCTTTTGCAATTACTCCAATCTACACCTGGTAGACAGTGGTGGACACTTTTAAAATTGTGAAACTCACATAATACAGCATAACATAACAACATGAGACTTGCCACTGTTCTTAGATCAAGCTATATTGCTACCTTTTTTCCCCAGCCTGACTTGGGGGAAAGTAGAGGGCAACAGTAAGGGCCCTTTCACAGAGTCAATGCTCTCTGGTGGCAAGGCATTGAGAAACAAATACGATAGGAGGAGACCGTTTTAGGAAGAGGAGCCCAGTAAGCAGGGTAAGTACCAGAAACCTATAGGAAGAATATTAAGTAATACCCCCTCTATCCACAGGCATGGCAACCTAACATAAATGAGGAATCAGAAGACATGGGCTCTAGTTTCAAGTCTGCAACTCATCAGCAATGTGCCACTTCCCCTCTCTGACCCTAGGTTTCTCTAAACCAGTTAAATGGGAAGGCTAGGCAAACTCATCTCTTATCACTTCCATCTCTAAAAATTTACAATGCTAGCTTTTCTCCCCCAGACCTTAAAAAAATGGCTGACACTGAACACACACCAGAATATAAAATATTTTAATAATGCGTTTTAGGTGACAACTGTGAGTATGTATATGTATAATACACACTAATTAACAGAGGCACTTATCCCATATATAACTGATTCAGTACATACTTAATTTCAAATGTGTGACTCTTTGAACTATGCATCTAACGCCATCAAGTTTGGTAAACTAACAAGTCAAATAAAATCCTGGGACAATGTCCCAAGAACTTCTAGCTTATCAATAAAAACCTACTGTAAAACCTCAATATAACAGACTTTTCGAGTTGGGAGAGTTCTAAGTGTCATCTCAATTTAAAGAGCAGGAAATGAAATGACTCACTGTCCCCAACTCTTTTTGACTATACCACAGTTCTTCCTCCTCCATTTCCTGCTCTATCAAAGGACAGCACCCCAGCAGAAACAATCTCCGGACTGTGAGACTGAACTGGGTTCTAATCCCAGCTCTCTTGCCATTAATGTGCTGTGGCCTGACTGGCCAAGTCATTCACTTGCCCTCCCTGGGCTTCAGGTTTTCCCACCATTCTCTAGGAAGGACTTTATGCCTCGTGTCCCTTTCTAGTGGTAACATACCAAGATCTTACAAAAATCTCTATCCAATAAAACAAAAATATACAATCACTGAAAGAAATTTAGGGATTTCCAACCAAGGGAAAGAAAAAGTTGGGCTACGGGTTTTAACTGGACACCTATATTCAATTCAGCAGGTTGGTGTGAAAGCATTTTACTTCAGAGAACCTTGGTGAAGGGTCCCTCAACCCCTACCCCGGTGTGGGGTAGCTATGATGGACCTTAAAAAAAAATACTGGACGAGGAGTCTTAAGAGAGAGTTTCAAATCTCAGCTCTGCCACTTACAAGCTGTATCTCCCAGGAAAATTCACTTAACCTCTGTGAGGCTAAGGTTCCTTACAGGTATAAATGAACAGAAAATCTTTAAAAATCAAACAAAGGGCAAGTATGAAAACTGTGATTTACATTGTAAAGCTGGGGAAATAGAAATGACTTGCTTCTCAGAAAAGCTAGGCTATATTAGAATGGAAAGTCTCTATAAAAGGGGGAGGCACTGATTTTTTTACTTACGAAATTTGCTTGAAAAAAGTAGAATACATGGTTGAAGACACCATTGGGACAGAAATGCAAGAAATCAATATCAATCAGTTTTAGGAAATGGATTGTGTATTTGAATTCTGCTGACTAATAAAATAGGAAATAGAATTCAACTGCTGAACTCAATCTCATGAGTTTTGGTGAAATGGTCTTTGCATTCTTGAAAACACAATAGCAAAAAACATTTCTTAAAGTGCCCACATTCAGTCTATTAACCTCTTAGGAGTTTCCATGGGATGACACTCCAGTTCATACCAAATGATAGGAGGCTATTTCTGATAACCAAATATCTAGTGACCACCCGTTTCCACAAATCAAGAGTTCTTGCAGCATTTCCAGGTGGCTGCTAATTGCCCAGTCACGTCTTCCTACTATATACCTTATGCAAATAAGCAAACCTCCGGAGCAGGAAGGAGGGGGGAAATGTAGAAGACATTCTTCCCTCCCAGCCCTGTTAGTTCTGGCCAGATGCAATTCCCCAGCTGAGTCTAACTCTCTTCCAAATCCCCTCATAATACAACATGGAGCCCTGCAAGCCACCAACAGCCACAGGAGTTTTATCCACAGACCTCAACATGTTCAGTGTTTGGGCAACTGAGAGTTAAAATTCGAGAGCTGGGTCCCAACAGACTTTTTCTTTAACTTTTCACCCAGTATATCAAAGGATCAAAGTGCTACCCAATGGGGAACAAGTGACTCAATTCTATCAAAATGACTCATCTAGTTTAGATAAAGTTAAATAGCTCCAAGTTCTGGGTACTTCCTCTCAAACTAAGCAATGGATAAAGTTAACAAATTTGCTAATTCCAAGGGAGGAAGGAGAAGGATCAAGCAGTCGACTTCTCTGCTCTTTCTCTGTGCCAGGTATGGATGAGGTCGTTCACACACAGATTCAGATGTAAGTGTCCTTCGGACTTAAACTTCTTTTACTTGATGAAAAATAATCTAAGTTCCTCTAAATCAGTGGTTCGCAACCTTCCTAATGACGACGCGACCCTTTTATACAGTTCCTCATGTGGTGGTGACCCCTCCAACCATAAATTTATTTTCATTGCTACTTCATATCCGTAATTTTGCTACTGCTATTAATCAGGCAACCCCTGTGAAAGGGTCGTTCGACCCTTAAAGGGGTCGCAACCCACAGGTTGAGAAACGCTGCTCTAAATCAACTACAGCAAGTAAAGGATTATGCTACTTCCTTCCCCGACCCCCCAAACACACACACACACACACACACACACACGTAGTTCAATCATGGAACCTGAATTGCCAGTTCATTACTTTGAGAGTTCTCAAAACCACAAAAGCCAATAGTTCACTTGAAGGGAAGCCACACTTAAGTCTAAATACATATTATATCTACTATCACCCCCAAAACCCGATGGGGCAGTTATAATCTGTCCTACAGGGCAGCTGTTATGAGTCAGCATAGACTCAACAGCTCAAAAGGGTGGGTTTACCATCAAACAAGGAACATGTCTGATAATGAATTCGAAGGAGATTCAGTGCCATCTTGAGACTGCCCAAAGTAGTCTCACCAAAAACCCAACGCAACCCACTGCCATCAAGTTTATCCCAACTCATGGTGATTTTCCAAGACTGTAGGGAAACAGACTCCCACATCTTTCTCCCCAAAGTGGTCTCAACACTAGCCCCAAATCCCACAAAAAAACCCGATAAGATTAGTGTGGCAAGAAACATACACACACACACACACACACACACACACACACACACGCACCCCACCCCACCCCCGCCCAGTAAACTATTCATACCCCGTTTTTATGACTTGGCTCTCATCACTTGTCTGAATCCTTCTTCTAGAATGTAGGGCCAACTTACGTAGCAACTAACTGGGGGGTTGGGGGGAAGGGGGGCCTCTTCCTTCGCCTGGCAGCAGGAGGATCCAAGGTAGTTGGTTGAACTGGAACCCTACCAGAGCCTTCCACTAACCCTCACATCTATCTGATCCGTGCTCTAGTGTGGCCAGCCTGCGAAGGCATGTCCTGGCCTGTGGCTTCACACAAGCCCTCCTTTAAAGGGCGTCGAAATTACTTTCGCCCTAAACGCAACTTTGAAAAGTGAAAGAGTGGGCCAGTGGACATCCTGGTCAAGCAAAGCAGTCCAAACTAACTGTGCTGCTGACTCAGAATCCCACCCCCACTTAATCACCACCAAAACATCTGGCCCATTTCGAGAAAAGCACCCCGGTGCGGTGGCTCTCGTGCTTCCAACCGCCAGATTACTCAGCACTTGCTGGGCTGTCCGGAGTCGCGAGACCGGTGCACCCTGAGGTCCCGCGGCCCATTTCGGACCCAGCTTCGATTTCCGGGGGCCCCAGGGAAGGCACTCTTGCACTCTTCTCATAACACTGCCCCGGTCCTGAGCCCATCAGCTAGGGGACTTTCCTAAGTCAACCACCCCACCTTTCCTCTGCTCCTTCTCCTCCTGTGCAAGGAAAAGAGCACCGCAATTCGGGGAGCGTTGACAGCTATCTCGGGAGGACGAGGTAACTCAGTGGGGAAAGGAAGACGACGGTGGAGCAAGAAAGAAAAAGTGCAAGAACCCCCTGCCACCGTCATCTAGGGCAGTTCCCGGCCCAGATGGATGTTTGAAAGACGTGGACCCAATGAATACCCGTCGCAAGCTCTCAAGCACCGAAGCTGTCCCGCCTCGCAGAGAACCGGGCAAGTCTGGAGAGTGGTCCTGGGAGTGGGTAAGAGACGCGCCTACCCCAAGAGGGCGACCCCCTTCTCTCGTGCCTCCCCCGTGGGCTTTAGCAGTGCCTGAGGGTCACTGGGGCGGGGGGGGGGGCGCGTCGGGGGCTGAGAGGTGTGAGTCGCGGGAGAAGCCAGGGAACGGGGATGCTCGCCTTCTGGGCCATCACTCCTGCTACTTACCCTACGGGGTAGCCGCCCCCTAGGTGCACATCTTCAGGGGCAGGGGCATCAAAGAATTCCTCCGTGTCGCTCTCCGACGCCATTTATAAGACACACCCGCGGGTGAGGGGGCCGGCGCCGCCTGGAGGGAGGGTGGCTCTCGTCTCCTCCGGGTCGTCCTCCACCCCGGCGAGCCCGTGGGGAGGTGGCTCCCGGGCAAGGATGAGAAGGCAGCAGAAGATCTGGAGTGAAAAGCCCGTGAGGGACACGGGGGCCGCCTCAGCCGCCGGGCTGCGGGATTGACCGGCTGAGCGTCCACCCGGGGAGAACGGCGGTGGGTCTGGGGACTGCTGCTTTTGCCGCTGCCGCTGCCGCCGCGGCTCCTGGAGATAGGTGTGTGAGGAGAGCGCTAGAAGAGGCGGTGGCTAAGCTCAGTGGGGGAGGGCGGGAGCGCCGGAGAAGGCAGCTCCAATTTCTCCCGCAGCAGCAATTACAGCTGCTAGGAGCGCTGCCTGCCCGCAAAATAGCGAAGAGTACCTATCATCGCGAGATTTCAGCGGTGGGTAAAGAGGGGGCGTGGCGAGGGGAGAGGAGGGGGCAGTCCCAGAGAGGCCCCACTCGGATTACTTTTACCCCAGAAGCCTATCCAAACAGCGCAAGCGCGGTGAGGGTGTTCGAAGCCGGAAGTAGCCCGGCAGGGAGGTGGTGCGCCTCAATAAGGGTGGAGTCTAGAGTTTGCGCAGGAGCAACGTGGTATCCCGGCTCTGAGTGTGCCCTCGTAGTTGGGTAGGGTTCTTCGGAGTGCATTACCCACTTAACAGTTCCCAAGAGAAGCATTTCAAGATTTTGTGTTTATTGTTGCTCACATCCCCCTTCCTTTATATATAAGTAAATGTTGCAGTGGCCTTTTGATTTGTATTTACATCTTAATTTTTCTGAGCCTGGAACATCCCACCGGGGGGCAGAGGCAGGGCCACCCCCTCTGGCGTTACATAAATAACTAGCTTGTGTACTACAAGATCTCTAATTGAGATCTCTAGACATAATCCTACGGGCAAGAGGGCGGGGTCCGTAAGAGATATTTCGGGAATGTGCTACTTCCACGGAGTAAAGATGGATTTGTTGCTGGCTACTTTTTTCCTATAAGCACAGCTCATATTTAATGTGAGAGAAATTCTTAATGCCCAAGATGGGAGTCAGTCAAATGGTAAATATGAGAGGGCTTTAAGAAGTTTGTTGGGGGGGGGTGTTTGTGGGGAACTAAAGAAGAAATGGAATTTTCCGACTAAGGTACCCTGATCATAGTGTTTAGGCATGGACTGCTAACCGCAAGCTTCACAGCTTGAAACCACCTGTAGGAGAAAGATAACACTTTCTATTCACTGTGGTTAAGTGTTGGGCTACTAACTGTGATAGGTCAGCAGTGCAAACCACCAGTCGCGGAAACCTCAGGGGCAGTTCTACCCTGTTCCATGGGGGTATTATGAATTGGAATCAACTCGATGGCTGTGAGTTTGGGTTTTGATTTATGTGGTATGTACTAAGCAGGTAGCAGTGTCCACGCTAACATACAGTAACTTCATTTTGATCTTCCACAACTCTGTACACTGATGTAAATAGAAAGATACTTTTAAAAAATAGCTAGAGGTTCTTTCTTAGTGCATCATTGACTTTCAAACTGATATTAACTCTCCTTGTGATCACAAACTACATGTTTTTCACACTGACATCATCTCAGGCCATTTGCATAGCCTCCATTATCAGAATGGCCGCAGAAAACCCTGAAGTGGGGACACTGGCATGTTCCATAAATCTTTTCCGAGTGAGAGCTGACTCATGGCAGTGGGCTAGGTTTCTGTTTTTAAGAAAGATATAAGGAACCAAAGAGACGTGGTGTAGTTGTTACATATTGGGTAGCTGACTACAAGGTCAGCAGTTCGAAACCAACTGTCACTGGGAAGAAAGATGGGGCTTTCTATTCTCATAAAGAGTTACAGTCTAGGTTTCAAGAGGACGGGGGGAGTGGGGAGGGAGGGGAAATAGGAGCTGATACCAAGGGCTCAAGCAGAAGGCAAATGTTTTGAGAATGATGATGGCAACATATGTGCAAATGTGCCTGACACAATGGATTTATGTATGGATTGTGATAAGAGCTGTACGAGCCCCCAATAAAATGATTTTTTTTTAAAAAAGGGTTACAGTCTAAGAAACCAATGGTGGCAGTTCTACCCTGTCCTCTTGGATCTCTACGAATAGAAATCCCATGGATGGCAGTGAGGTTTTTTTTAATAAGAAGCCAAAGAACTCCTGGTGGCTGCAGATGCTAGTGGTTCAAGCCCACAGTTGTAGGAGTTCCCTACAGATGAGGTTCTTTCCCTTGCTCAGTTAAGAATCATGGGACAGAAAGTCAATCTTATCACGCCCGCAAGCAAAGAAGATGTATTAGAGCAGTCGTTCTCAAGTTGCAACCCCTTTGGGGGTCAAACGACCCTTTCACAGGGGTCGCCCAATTCATAACAGTAGCAAAATGACAGTTATGAAGTAGCAACAAAAATAATTTTATGGCTGGGGGGGGGGTTACCACAGCATGAGGAAATGTATTAAAGGGTTGCCGCATTAGGAAGGTTGAGAACCACTGTATTAGAGAGAGAAGCATATACCTCATTAACTTTCAAACTGATACCAACTCTCCTTATGATCGTGAAGTACATTTGTTTCTCACCCTGACACCATCTCAGGCCATTTACATAGTCTCCATGATCAGAATGGTAGTGGAAGGAAAACACTGAAGCGGAGACAAGAGCATGCCCCATAGAGCTGCTGAGTCAGAATTGACTCTTGGTAGTGGGCTAAAGAAAGATCTAATAAGCTAAGCAGCCCTGCATATGAGCAAGAACCAATGGTACTGAAGGAAGAAGTTCAAGCTGCACTGAAAAGATTAGCCAAAAACAAGGCTCCAGGAATTGATTAAATACCAATTGAAATGTTTTGACAAGCTGATGAAGCACTGGAAGTATTTATTTGTTTATGCCAGGAAATTTGGAAGACAGCTCCTTGGCCAACTAAATGAAAGATATCCTTATTTGTACACATTACCAAAAAAGGTGACCCAACAGAATGGTCATTTAATGCAAGTAAAATGTTGCTGACGATCATCTAACAATGATTTCAGCAAGACATTGACAAGTTGCTGACAGATGTTCAGACCAGATTCAGAAGAGGACATGTAACAAGGGATATCATTGGTGCTGCCCGATGGATTTGGGCTCAAAGCAGAGAATACCATAAATATATTTCCTTGTGTTTCATTGACTATGACAAGGCATTTCACTGTGTAGATCATAACAAACTGGGATCAGCCTAGAGAAGACTGGGAATACCAGAACACTTCATTGTGCTCATGCAGAACATGTACATAGATCAAGAAGCAGTTGTGGGAAAAGGGGGAATCGATCACAAGGATCAATCTATAACCCTCTCCCAGGGGGATGAAGAACGGAAAAGTAGGTGAGGGGTGACGGAAGACAATGTAAGATATGGAAAAAATAATCTAGAATTTATCAAGGGTTCGTGAGGGAGGGCGGGCAGGGGAGGGAGGGGAAAGAATTGGCGAGCTGATATCAGGGGCTCAAGTGGGAAGAGAATGCTTTGAAAAGGATGATGGCGGCATATTTGCAAATGTGCTTGACACACTGGAGGAATGTATGGATTGTGATAAGAGATGTAAGAGCCCCCAATAAAAGTATTTAAAAAAATTACTGTCTGATATCAATAATGGTTGTACAACATGAAGAGTGTAATCAATGGCACTGAATTATACATGTAGAAATTGTTGAATTGGGGCATGTTTTATTACGTATATTTTTGCCAAAATTGAAAAAAAATTACACAAATAACAATGAGTATAAGGAAGAAGAAAATACTCTAAAATTGATTGTGGTAAATATTGTACAATTCATCTTGATATGATTGAACTATTGAATTTTATGAAATGTGGATGAATGCCAATAAAACTGTTTTTTTTTTAAAAAGCAATTGTGGGAACAGAACAAGGGAATATAGTATGGTTTAAAATCAGGAGAGGTGTGCCTCCGAGTTATAGCCTCTCCCTCTATTTATTCCATCTACATGCTGAGCAAAGCATCAAAGAAGCTGGATTATATGAAGAAGAATGGGACATCAGGATTGGAGAGAGGCTTATTAACAATCTGTGATAGGCAGATGACATAACATTGCTTGCTGAAAGTGAGGAGGACTTGAAGCACTTGCTGATAAAGATCAAGGATTTGAGGCTTCATTTCAATTACAACTCCATGTAAAGAAGACCAAAATCCTCACGACTGGGCCAATTGTAAGTAACATCATGATATATGAAGAAAAGATTGATGTCAGGGATTTTGTCTTGCTTAGATCCACAGTCAGTGCTCATGGAAGCAGCAGTCAAGCAATCTAAAGGCACATTACATTGGGTAAATCTGCTGCACGAGACTTCTTTAAAGTGCTGAAGTGTTCCAATTTTTCTTTCATGTGTTATTTAAATGTTTGGCGGTAGTTATTCACTTGTTATATGTCTATTGCTGGCTGTATTGTAAAAAGCAATATCAAGATTTGTATTTTAAAATCTCAGGGACTACAATTTACCAGAATGTACACCCTTTGTAAATATTTGAATGTATAATGAACTATCTAGAGCAGCGATTTTCAACCTGTGGGTCACGACCCCTTTGGGGGTTGAACGACCCTTTCACAGGGGTCGCCTGGTGCATAACAGTAGCAAAATTACAGTTATGAAGTACCAACGAAAATAAATTTATGGTTTTGGGGGAGGGTCACCACTACAACGGAACTATATTAAAGAATTGCGGCATTAGGAAGGTTGCAAACCACTAGAGGATTTAATCATACAGTTAAATCATTGCAAGGGATATACATTCTGGTTAATAGTAAATCCTGGGAAGCTAACAGGAAATAAAAATACCTCGTTTAAAAACACAAGTGTTGAAAAACAAAGATGTTACTTTGAGGAATAAAATGTGCCTTACTCAAGCCATAGTATTTTCAATCACCTCATATGTATGTGAAAGTTGGACATTGAATAAGGAAGACTGAAGAAAAATTCATGCATTTTAATTGTGGTACAGGAGAAGAATACTGAAGGTACCATGGACTGCCAGAAGGACAGACAAATCTTGGAAGAAGTACTGTCAGAGTGCTCTTTAGTGGCAAGGAGGGTTAGACTTTATCTTACACACCTTGGATATGTTGTCAGGAGAGACCAGTCCCTGCAGAAGTATAGCAGGCTTGGTAAAGCAGAGGGGCAGCGAAACAACGGAAGGCCCTCTAAGTGATGGATTGTCATCCTGGCTGCAACAATGCGATCAAGTAGAGGATCCATTGTGGAGATAGTAAAGGATTGGGCAGTGTTTTGATCTGGTAGGTGGGTGGCTATAGGTTGGAATGGACTCCCTGGCACCTAACAACACAGAGAGTAGTACCTTGCAAG